AAGGAACGGATCTATGAGACAATGAGGGGATCCGGATTGGAGGGCCGAGTCGGATCCACAGATCGAAAGAGAGGGGGTCGGGGTGAATAGCAAGTGTGATGGGGCCACATTAGATTTGCCACAAAAGGGCACAAATTTTAACGAGTGGAATAAGACAATTGAGAAGTTGTGATAGGGCGGCAGTGGGATTAGAGGGTAAATAGTAGATAGATAGACCAGGACAGAAGGAGGAGGGATAGTGTAACCGTTTTTTGCAGAACGTTTTTTAAGGGTTTGACTTCACTTGTCTCTTTGACGAGTTCGTAGCTTGGTGCGGAGAATGGCAAAATTCACTGATGATGTCGACTATGATGCCGGCGAAACGTTTGATTATGTACTAAGTACACTGTCTGATGCTGGAAATCATGACAACTACTATGGCAGGTGCGTCCTACTAAGTCGCCCTGACAACAAGGCCAAGTTGCGACAACGAGGTCAACCCACTTCTATAAATCGAAAGGAGATTGCGACCATACCAGAGGCCACAACATCTTGGCCTTCAGCGTCTTTAAGCCTGCCGGCACTCCCGAGTTAGAAATATGGCGACTCAAAAGCTACAATTCAGCCTGTTTTCTGTGAAATTGCGAGCCTTTTCTTCAAGATATCTAGGATTTTATATCTATCGCAACCGTTACATCACTTGAAGATGCCATACCCTGCCAGTAAATCAGCCTCCTGATAGAAGCAGCCTGAAAGATCAATGACCAAAGTTACTTTCATAACTCAGAGCTCCGATGACGAGGATGGGATTTATTTCATCTGACTCTATCGCATTTTCGAAAGGCTGACGGAATCATTGTGTTTATATCAACTATCAGATTATTATCAAATAAGAATGACTTATTAACATAACAACTCTCAGCTAATAATGTTCGACAATATAGATATACTGATTTTAAGAATAATTTGACAATTATATCACGCATATTCAGTTATCTTAGCGATTCGTTCTGGCGTAAATCAGAAAGTATTTTATAAATAATCTGCTTTTTTAACCAGTTAACTTAATACTCATGTATTAGACAAATTGATATACTGTATATATTCATCTTCGAATGTCGGGGTATGAATGCCTTGGTCTCTTATTTGTGAATTAACTTACATAGTAGTAGTAAGCACTCGAGTTAATAGAGAGTGAAGTTTAAATGATAATTCTGGGGTCAAACTTATTTACTCGTGATTCTATCACCTTTTTTTCTTCACAGTAGTCAGCCAGGCGATGATATCACAAAATGCAGAAACCATTCTGTACAAATAACAAGGGTATTTTTCCTCACTATCTAAACTTAGCCTTTCCTCCCTGACGATGGGTCCTGGATATTATGGCTT